ATCTATGTCCTGACTTTGTCAATCTTCCCCGGGTTCATCTCTGAGGACACAGGCACCCACCAATTGGGTTCATGGTAAGAACCCATTTTGCTCAAGAATTACCCTTTCATGCCTACTACTGTAAAATCCTTGTCTCATAAGGAAGTGTTTGGTCCATTGTTTTTTTCTCCTGCCAGGTACATACTTGTGTTGATTGCAATGTACAATGCTTTGGATTTGGTGGGGAGATACGTACCACTGATCAAGTGCATCAAGTTGACCTCCCGAAAGTGGCTGATGATCGCAATCCTGTCTCGGTTCCTGCTCATCCCTGCATTCTACTTCACTGCCAAGTATGGTGATCAAGGGTGGATGATCTTCCTCACTTCGTTTCTAGGGCTCACCAATGGCTACTTGACCGTTTGTGTCATGACTGTAGCTCCAAAGGGCTACAAGGTTAGTAGTCCTTTTCCTTTCTCCCTAAACTTAGCTTCAAGGGATTACAGAAATTCTAAATCCTGAACTACTTTTTGCTTGGGTTGCTGCAGGGTCCGGAGCAGAATGCATTGGGGAATTTGCTCGTGTTGTTCTTGCTGGCAGGCATTTTCGCTGGCGTGACCCTCGATTGGATGTGGCTAATTGGGAAGAAGAACGCCTTCTGAAGAATCCCAGCCGTTTTATCTTTAGCCCTGACTCTCATCTGAGTTTTGATTTCACTGCATAGCCTTGGTGTAAATGTTTTACCATTGGTCGATTCATTCTGTAGAGATAGAAAGAGACTGCTCAGTTCAATCACTATCCAAAGATTTTAGCAGAAAGTTGCAGCCTATTACACATATATATGTATGATCCGTGCAATAAGAATCAACATATCACGCTTCATTCTATCTGTTGGAAACTGTTCACAGTGGGGTTGAACTCTTTAAGATATCAACACTGGAAGGAAGAACATGAGCATCTCAGTGCAACTTTTCTTTTTGTAAAAACAAAATAAAAAAAAAAGAAGGCAAAAGAACAAATGGCTTCGCCCGGGTTCGAACCGGAGACCTTCAGTGTGTTAGACTGACGTGATAACCAACTACACCACGAAACCATGTGTTGTGATATTGACGTATACTTATTTAATACTATTATGAAAATGGTGATTACCTATTACCTTGACTTCCCTCGCTGGAACTAGCAAGAGGCTCTGTTGGCGCCTTGACATCACAGGCTGGAAGTAACAACAATGGATACTAACTAATACATTTGTATGAACCACCTCCTTTACAAATCATTCCAATCCTTAAATTCTTTTACAGGTGCATCTAAAAGCTAGAGTTCCTGGAAATAGCCCACCCTCTTCTTCTCTTTTCTTGGAAAAGTACAACGCAGATCACCGTTGGCCTGAACTGGCCTGGCCGGTTAAAACCCATCAACATTTTCTTGGCTACTTAACTGTAACCAAACAACCAACTCACACATTACCTACCGGGGACTTTCCGACCCTCCTTCGGATTCCCGCGTCCAACCCCAACCCGCACTCTGTTTATAAATACACAATACACCAATCCCAAAACCTGATCAACCCTTTCATAATTGAATTCGAATTCGTACAAATTCCTTCCCAATCACAGAATCCAGCATTCCCCCTGAACGCTCTCTCTCCATGGCGGCCGCCGGAACACGGACTCTCGAATTCACGGTCGTCTCAGCAGAGGACCTCCGCCTCGAGGGGAGACCCGTCAAGAAGAACGCGTTCGTCGTCGTGAGAACCGACCCGTTCATCAATTCCGGGTCGACCAGGGCGGATTCCGACGGCGGGAGCTACCCTCAGTGGAACGAGAAGGTTGTGATCGAGATGCCGATGCTGACTGATTCGGTGACATTGGAAGTCCGATCTGGAAACAGAGTGGTCGGAGCGGCGGCCGTGCCGGTTTCCGATTTCTTGGGGGACGGCCTGACGCCGGAGGATTACTTGCATTTTTTGAGCTACAGGCTGCGGGACCAGCGAGGGGTTAAGAATGGGATTATCAATTTCTCGGTTAGGGTTAGCGGCGGTGGCGGGGGAAGTATTTATGGTTGTTCGCCGGCAGCGGGGAAGAAGGTGGTGGGGGCGGAATGCGGCGGTTCTTCCACGCCTCCGTCGTGGGGAGTGCCGATGGTGGGTGGCCGGAGTAATTACGGTGGCGGCGGAGGAGTGGTCACCGGCGTTCCTGTTTGGGGCTCTTCTCGCGCTTAAGTTCATGTTCATCGTCATTGGAACTCATCTGAGTTCGGATTTAATTGTGGATTGTGATGTATATGTTTGATCAGTACATATTATACATTGGTTTCTCTATAAAGTGATAAACTATATATTTTCTTTTCCATCAAACTCCAAAGCTACAAAGATTAGTTTACATCATTTCTAGAGTGATAAACTAATAACGTAGATGATTATATATAGAAGTTTATATTTCTATTAACTCCAGTTAAGTGGTAACAAAGTCATTGTTTAGTAGTAAAACCACGGCAATGGTAGAATCATGTTCCAACGTGGACAATTATATGGTCAACTGTAAAGTAGATCACGTGTATCAAGAAGAAAATAGGGTCCCAGATAAGTGTGCCCAAATGGGACATCGATGCCGACAAACGATGATGTTCTCGGGCGGATTGTGCAGGAGGATGATGTCGTGGGGAAGATCATCATCCGGAACCGGAAGAAATAGGAACATTCACCAGTTAGTGATTACATTGAATTGTGACTAGTAATATAGTATGTCAAATTGTATATATTTTTGTGTATATTAATTAATCAATTAGTAGTTATCTTGTACATAATGTTCCGTAAATTTGTATAAATCAGGTACAAAATTGTTTTTAAGATTATATATCCTCTTAAATTCTGAAATTTGTGTCGAGTTTTGATGACGGGAGAGTTGGTAAAGCCTATGCAGCAGAAGAAAGAACCTTAAACGTTTCATGTTACACTATGCCTTTCCTCTAATCCCAGGCAATGTTTGGTTGTGCGTGTAAATTGAATCCCATAAATTATTAGCTCCATGTGGGAAATGTGAAATGCCATGCTTAATTGAGATGTTAGACCTAACAAAACATACATATAGCGAGATCAGTAGGCATCATTTAGGCAAAGAAATGAATCACGTACTTACTTTAGTGATGTGCACGGTAACCTAATTCGTTCGATCTAATTTAGTCTAACTCATTTTGTATAAGAATTTACTGTTTCATATACATCATGAATGGGCAGGTGGAGCATGTTCCTTTCGATCCGTTCAATCTTATTTTTATACAAATACACTCGTTTTTATGCTAGTTTAGCTATGAATCAGAACAGACTTCAATTTGTCAATATTATATGGGGTTATTAATTAAATAATTTTCTTCTTTTTACTTATTTCAAAAATGTTTTCTTTGTGTTTTCCATAAAAAAAATTCAGTTTACTTTAAATATTGCATACAATAGAGTTGATTTACCACGATATGTGGTGTGCTATAATAACTCAATTTGAACCACACTAAATACGAATAAATATACATATCGAGATATCTCATCGTTCACTAACACCGTTGTATAGTAGAGAGACAAAATACGGTATTGACTATTGAGCAATGAGCATAACTTAATACCAAAATGTGGAGAGAACTGGGCCGGGCCTTTTATGGCCTGATGGAGAAACAAGTCGGTATTAATACAAGATGATTGCCTGGAAGTCCAAACAGTATTAAAACCCTAAAACACAGAGCAGGCCCAAAATGGAAATTGGGCCAGGTGAAGTTGCAAACTCTATGCAGTACAATGCATGATTCCAGAAGTCTGGCCAATGCAACCTGGATTTAATCTTGTGCCCTGGTTTTGGTAAAGAATTTGATCAGTTGCATTTCATTACTTATTTAACAATTCATATACTTATGGATGGTTTACCAAGTTAGCTAACAATGACATGTTATGAAATTACAAAAACCCTCATCGAGAAGAATCGTGATTTATGATAATCGAGAAAATGACAATGAGACAAGGAGAGTATAGGCAGCCGTTGGATGATTGATATTCGGTCGGAACATTATCGTAATTTTGAGGAATATTTGAATGGTCAAAAATTAAGGCAGAGAACCTCCCAATATGGTCAAACGATGGTGTAAAAGAGTTTGGGTCTCTTTTTTTCAACTATGTTTTGCTGTTGCTGTTCTCTAGTTTGCTTTCCCAGCCAGGACCAGGATTAAGTTTGCAGAAGGGTAAATGAAACTGGACTTCCGCCCAACGTAGAGAAGCCTATTTGCTAGGAGTTGGGCTTTTGGAGAATCTGCCAACCCCAAAATTGATTAAATATCAATCAATCAAAATCAAATAAACAAACCCACAAACGTGTCTGTTTGCCCAGTAAATTTGCAGTAAAGATTGGCCAATCCAGGAATAAACGCAAGCATTAAAATCCACCTTGCACAGTAAGTAACCAACTGAACCAATTATGTAACTCCAAGAAATTTGACCACCAAACAGAGAAAAGATATAGAATCCTCTCACAGTCACAGTAATACCCTCTCACAGCCGTTGGATTTGATCATCCAACACATATTCCCTGCATTTTTTCTTATAAAGCATCGCAGCGTCCGAAAGGCAAACATCGAGATTATAGAATCAGAAACATCGACGCTTTTCAAAACTAAATAACAATCTCTACGAATGTAGAGATCCAACGATGGTTCAATTCTAACGAATCCAAACACGAACGCGGAGCACTCCTTGCTTCTCGTATCTAGACCTCGTATTAACCTTGTCCTGTCCAACTGCTTGACTGCCAGGGTACTGCAGAAGTGGTGGGATTACAGTTACAGAGATTTACTTCTATAAATTTGTTTGGAACTTCCACTTCCTTAGATAAACATTGGAGAAAAGGAAGGAAGAAAAAAAGAAGTCTTTAACAACTTGCTTCTGATACTCTGCAGTCTGCACTACGCCAAACAGAGCTTACTAGACACACTCTTTTCCTCCCACCAATCCATCATTCGATCTTTAATTTCGCAAATCGAAAAGAGACTAAACCAAGGTTTTCCAGGGCGACCCAGATAGGGCTCTGTTTTTCTCCCAAATTACCACCCGCTGCCATTCGCCATTCTTCCCTTTCTTCGTCTTCTGCTTACTGGGTATTAAATGTTCGACCCCTAAAACCGAAAGCCCTCTTTGCTTTTCCCTTCTCCTTCTCCCTCTCCAGTCTCCACCCCTTTTAATAGAAAAAGACGGGATTTTTCTCTCTTTTTCTGTCACTTTCCCGAGTAAATTTCAGATAGAGAGTGGGCTGCGGTGTGGGGTTTTCATCCGTGGGGGGATTCTTCTTTAATTCGTTAGCCGGGGAATGGCTGAGAATGGGCCTCTGCCGGACCATCTCCGGTGCAAGCGGACGGACGGGCGGCGGTGGCGGTGCGGTCGGAAGGTGCTGCCGGGGAAGAAGCTCTGCGAAATTCACCACCTCCAAGGGAAGCATCGCCAGCACAAGTGGAAAGTCCCCGAGTCGCTCAAGATACAGAGAGAGTACAAGAACCGCAACAAAATCAGCAATGGCGCTCGAGTTAGGTTACAGAAGGAGGAGGCCGACGTCGTTTTGTCGAAATTGGGGCAGAAGAGGAAGAAATCGGAGGGGTTTGAAGAGGTAGTGAAGATGAAGAAGAAGAAGAAGATGAAGAAGAAGGTTAAGGCCAAGAAGAACACGCTGCAATTTGAGCTGATTCGAATGGTGCTGAAGAGAGAAGTCGAGAAGCGGAAAGGGCAGAGTACCAGCAATAAGAAACCCAACTCTAAGAGTAAGAGTGGTAGCAGTGACAATAACGGTGGGGAAGAAGGGGAAGAAGACGATGAAGATGAAGAGCCAGAGTTGATGAGAGATTTGCCTAATGGGTTCATGGCTATATCTCCAGTTAAGCATTTCAACAATGTGGGTTCTTGTTCAGCTTCAGCAGCTTCCTGCGACGTTAAAATTGGATCGGATTCGAGTTCTGGGATACGGTTTCGGTCTAAGAACCTCGAGCCATTGCCCATTGGAGCTGCCCTGCAGGTAACTGAACTCTGAAGGAATAACTACATTGCAGTCAGAATGATTGTTCGTGCCTTTTCTACTTAGATTATGTTTTATTGAAATGTGGGTTGTGTTTATTTGTGAAGGTTAAGGATATGGTGGAATTGAGGAGAGGGAAGAAGAAGCAGAAGTGCCACTGGTGTAGGAAGAATGGGCTGAGTAGTACTTTGATTCAATGTTCCAGTTGTAGTAAGGAGTTCTTCTGTACGGATTGCATCAAAGATCGGTATGTAAAACAGACTGTTATGATCGGTTTTAACTAATGGAAACATTCGTTCATGGTTTCTCCTGATGATACTGCTTAATTGTTGGAACTGAAGCATAAAGGTTATAACTATAGGTACTTTGATGAGCAAGAAGAAGTTCAGAATGCTTGTCCAGTTTGCCGTGGGACTTGTGGGTGTAAACCATGCTTGGCTGGCCGATTTAAGGACAGTGACTGTGAGGTCTGGCATCTTTATTAGTCATTGTTAACTTTGAAGGAATGATGGATTCATATTCCTTGGTTTCAGTATTGAAAAATCCCTATGCTTACATCCGTACCCCATGTTTGCTGCAGGAGTATTCTAATGGTGGAAGACAGGTGAATAAGGTTTTGCACTTCCATTACATGATCTGTATGCTTCTTCCAGTGCTGAAACAAATGAATCGAGATCTTGTTTCTGAAATCGACACGGAGGCGAAAATGAAAGGTAAAATTCACATTGATCTGTCTTAATGGTATTCTGATAGTGTAAGTAATCCCATGCCATCTAACAGGTCTAAAACCTTCCGAGGTTCAAATCGAGCTGGCTAAAGTAAGCAGCAACCAACGTTCGTGGTTTGTTCTTATTCTTCTCCAGATCATTATATTTCCTAATTTCACCTTCATGAGTTTCTCTCCATACTTTCTTACTCTCTGATGTATGATGATGCAGCAATAAGTGCAAGGCTTCGATTGTGGATTTCCACAGAAGCTGCCAAATTTGCTCCTACAACCTCTGCTTAAGATGTTGTCGAGATGTTTTCCAGGGGATAGTATGTGGGAATGTCGATGTGCTTGTATCTAAATGCCCCACAAGAAGGAAAACTTTCATATCTGGCAAACAACAATGCGAGGTGATATCTGCTTTCACATCAAAGAAGAGATTACCTGGTAGATGTCCCAGTAATCGAAAAGCTTTCAATGGTTGTGTTGGTATACCTTGTCCGTCTTCTGAGTTTGGTGGTTGTGGCGATAGCCTTCTAGATTTGAGCTCTCTTTTCCCATTGAGTTGGGCCAAGGAGCTGGAAACCAGTGCAGAAGAGCTTATTGGCTGCTACGAGTTGCCCGAGACCTTAGATATCAATTCCAGCTGTTCGTTATGTACTGAGAGTGACCTGGATACTGATGAGATAAGGCAGTCACAAGAAGCCTCTGCAAGAGAAGATTCACAAGACAACCTGTTATACTGTCCTACTGCAGCAGAGATTCACGGTGATAACCTTGAACACTTCCAGAAACACTGGGGCAAAGGTCAGCCTGTAAAAGTCCGCAATGTGCTTCTGGGTACATCTGATCTTAGCTGGGATCCAATTGTCATGTTCTGCACTTATCTCAAGAACAATGCTAACACACCCGGAAACACACAGGCTACTGATTCTTTGGACCACTTTGAGGTTAGTGATTCTTTAGTTCACACGCACATCAATGGAATAGGGTAATATTTGATAGTCTAGTCCTATTAAGGTGGATGTTTGCTTATTGTAGAATAGAAGAACTGCTCTGTTGTTGTATTTAGAACTCAAGTTTTCATTCTTCATGACTCTAAAGTTACAATCCTTAAATCTCATGAAAGGTTCAGCTTGAAAGTCACATTGTACAGCTAGAAAGGTGTAGTTTGAGAATCACGTTGTGCAAAGGTTAGGGTTTTCGAAGCCTGCATGATAACTTTGATGTAAAAATGGCAGGTGGAAATCGGTGTGCGGCAGTTATTCATGGGATCAATAAGGGGACCGAAAAAAGCCAATATGTGGCACGAGGACCTAAAGTTGAAAGGATGGCTTTCTTCTCAAGTAATCCAAGAACATCTTCCAGCTCATTTCTCTGAAATCCTTCATGCTCTACCTCTCCCAGAATATATGGACCCAGCTTCTGGCCTCTTGAACGTAGCAGCAGAGTTGCCCCAGGAGATCTCAAAACCCGATTTGGGTCCTTCCATCTACATTTCGTACAATAGTGGGAATGATATCGTAAGAGCTGATTCAGTATCGAAATTGCGCTATGATACCTATGATGTGGTTAACGTTCTGGTGCATGCAACCGATGCACCCGTCTCAACAGAACAACTTAACTATATCCGCAAGCTGATGAAGAAGAACAAGGAAGAGAACCGGGCAAATGGAGGAAGCATCGAAGAATTGGGATTGCATGATTTGGTAGAGGAAGAAGTTCAGTTGCACAAGAAAGTTGCTCGAGTCTCTTGGTTCTCTGCTGCTGCTGCTGCTGCACAACATGAAGCCTGTGATGAGAAACCTGAGGCAGCTTTCCACAATAATGGAGCGTGTTCAGACACCGATTCCGACACCGATACAGATACTGATACCGATACTGAAGTCTCAAAGTTCTTCTTTGGTCCAGTCAAAGGGTCAAGGACTTCAGACCACCGACCATCCAGAATAAAGCACACGGAAACAACCTCGGATGAAGAATTTGTATCCGAGAAACATGAAGAGTCGTGTGGTGTCCTGTGGGATGTCTTTCGTCGACAGGATGTTCCTAAGCTTGTTGAGTATCTACGACTACACTCGAAGGAATTTGTTGAGACATATGGTTCCAGAAAGCCGGTAAGCTAAGAGGATACAGGGCGTGCTTGTTTTAGCTTTTGCTAAGTTTCAGTAAATCTAGAGGAGAAAAAAGTGTTTGGTAACTTAAAGACAGATGCTTTACTCATCAGTGGCTGTATGCCTTTGCAGGTTACTCATCCGATACATGATCAAATCTTCTTTCTTGATGCGGTGCATAAACGAAGGCTCAAGGAAGAATTTGGTAATAGTATTGTTCTTCAGTTCTGGTTTTTTATAGTCATTTTCTTCAGTTTCTTAAGACCTCTTTATATAATTTGATGCAGAGATCGAGCCATGGTCATTCGAGCAACACGTGGGAGAAGCTGTCATTGTTCCAGCTGGATGTCCTTACCAGATTAGGAATCTCAAGTCTTGTGTAAATATAGTGCTGGACTTTGTATCTCCTGAAAGTGTGGTGCAGTCCATGCAGTTGATCGACGAGCTCCGTCTGCTTCCAGATAAGCACAAGGCCAGAGCTGATTCTCTTGAGGTGAAGCAAATGGCCATCCATGGTGTCAGTAGAGCAATTAAAGAGATACGCGACCTTACTTCTTGAGATACGCGACCTAACATTGTGAGATGCAACTTTCGGAATGCATCTTCATCCAGTTCTTTGAGTTTTGCTACCACAGATGAACTACTCCCATCAATGAATAAGACTCAACGGGCTGTGCAAGCTCAATTGTTGGAGAGGCGTGGAAGAAATTGATTGGCTTCTGCAGCAGAGTATAGGCATATATGTACAATGGTTGTAAGATTTCATGGGGTTCATAATCTGCAATTGGAGAGAAGATGGAAGGGAGGTAATTCTTGTAGACCAAAGATAAAAGACTAGTTAGGATAGGGTTTCTATATTTTTTTTTCTCGAGGTAACAGGCCTTTGGATTTAGTGTATATGACTCCTGAATTTCATTTTCCCTGGCAATCCATTGGTTGTACATATTATTGCTGGTAGTCTTTCTGAGTAGTAGTTCATTGTTGAATGTTAGATTGGGATTTAGATTGTAAGTTGAACACAACAGCCTCTCTTCAATCAAAATTTTACTGTTTCCTTTTTCTCTGTATAGCTCCAGATCTGATTCAGAACTTTTACTTGACGCTACTTTGCTATGATAATCTACAGCGGCTGATAGACAAACAACATGAAGCAGTCTCTTCCAACTAGCTAATAGAGAGTCGAGACTGCTGAACACACATTGACTTCAGCCAGGCACTAAAGACTAAAGCTGTGACTGAAGCTATGGGCTCAGAAGCTTGCACGGCCTTTTTGCACTTTAGGGGCACAGCCAGCCGGTTTGGCTTGAAGGTACATCTGCTATGCAAGAGATGTTGCAATGTCTTTTTTTGTGGACACTGTATACTGGGATACGAAGGTTGAGACTCTTAATCGACTGTCTCTAGATCTTCAGAGGGTGATAACCTACATCTTTCGTTTCCACTTGCATTTGTCCTGGGTTTTTTTAGCACAGAAGAGCTAACTGTTGTGTGATTAGTGTCTGGGGGGATAAAAGAAGTGCATTTTCAAGCTTGTATGATCCATGGAAAAAGAACAAATGAAAAGCATGCATCCCTCTCTCAATCTGATACAACCACAGAAACGAAGCGACATAATTTATTACAGTTTTTACAACCAATATGATGAATGGAATGGGATATTAGGCACAGGATTTACACGTATAAATGGGAAGATTTAGTTCTTCCTAGGGTAAGAGATGATATACTAAAAGAAATAGCATCACTTATTTTCTCTTTACTTTCTCTGTTGCTCTTCCTTTGTCTGGAAAAACCGATCGAATTAAGTACAGGCAAAAAGACCCAGAAAGAAATGGGAAACAAAAGAAGAAAAAAGTGAGAAGTAAACAAAGAAGAAAAGGAAGAATTCCTAAAGGTAGAAGGAAATTACAAAGAATCATCTAAAACTTCAGGAGGGATGGATACATCCCTGAGAGAGTTATCGTTATTTCTTAGACTGCAAGTGAACTCTTTTGTGGTCCTAAACACTTACAAAATTGTTTCCAACCTGTAATAACCTTCTTTCTCTTCTATGGGGCCATCAACCCTTCGATCGTGTAAGATAGGGACTTGGCCCAATCAGCTCGAAGAAGCAGCGTCTGTAACGTTTTCATCACATTGTATGCGGGGTCCAGCTTCCTTTGCCATCCCTGCAAATTATATAAACAAAGCGTATGAAGATAAAGACCCATAAGCTGACTTACACTCCAATCATCCGTGGAAAACTATAGGACTTTAAGATTGTACCTCGAGAACCAAAGTTGTCACCATGACAGTGCAGACATTACCATCAATGTTGACCTTATGTCGTCTTACTTTCTCGAGTAGTTCCTGCATGCATTCAGCAGGATGAACCAAATCTCCTTCTGGAGTTCCCCAGAATGTGAATGCCTCTTCCACTTCCTGTTTCAAGCAAAGAATGCCAATAAGAAAGTGTAAATAACCATGCAAAGCAAGACCTTTCTCAGGACAGAATTCGGAAAGGGATCAAAATCTAGAAGGTTTCTGAAGACATTTGCATACAGGTTGCAAATATGGCCCAAATTTCCAAAAGTTTATGCAACATGACATTGAACTAATGACACACCAAACCTTATGAAAGGACTTCAGCAGATTGTCATGGATTCCCAACGACCCAAACACCTAATTAAAATCCAAGCCATAACCCTGCAGACCCATTAAAACTGACACGTATATCCATGAACCCTACTCATACCCATTTGACACCTCTACTACTGATATCAAAATGTAGATGTTCTAGAGTCTCAGAAGGTCAGACTACTGATATCTAAACATACCTCTATGAAAGCCTTCGGATCAGGACAATTCTGCTGTTTCGATAACAGCAATGCAGATTCTGCTGCAGTGCGTCCATCTCGGCGAGCAACAGCCTTGAAAAACTCAAGTAGATTCACTCTGTCGTTCTTCGAAAGTTCAGCGGTCATGCCTACATCAAGGAAAACGACATGAGGCTTTGACTTGAAAAGCCGTTTTTTTCCCAGAGGGCTTGGTCTGAGACGCCACCCGCACAAGAATATTCCCAGGATGCATGTCTGCATGGATAAAGTTGTCAACCTGAAGCAAGAAAAAAATTTCACTTGGCAAACTGAGGCTAAATTCCAAGTGCTTCTCAAACTATAACCTTAAATAATATAACTCAAAGTATCTACCAGAAGCATTTTCAGAAGTGCGTGAGTCCCAATATGGGCAAGTGCAGCTTTAACCCGGTCATGTCCCTCCAGGTCATCCACGTAGTGGGAAACACTCTCCCCTTGCTCATAAGTCTCCACTAAAACAGCTGGATGCACGAGGGGATACACTGGTTTAGGGAAGGATACATCTTTCCAACTCCGGAAGTTATATATGAACCTGCTCAAGTGAGCAGCCTCCCTAGCAAGATCAACTTGAGACATCATAAAAACTGCAAACTGCTGTACACTTTCATCCAATCTCAACCAATTCAAAGCCGGGACAAATCTCGACATCTTGCTACCACATTGATGATAGTGAAATCTCTACGAATTGAATTGCCAACACCAGGATGTCTAACTTTGACCGCCACAACAAGAGGCTTCGCCTGCTTCTGACCAGGGTACCTGAATCTCAAAGATGCCGATGCACCTGAGCGATACTTCCAGATGCCACAGGAAGTTCCTCAAACCCTTCGAAGATTTCATTTAGCTTACGACCAAACGCTTTTTCAATTGTCTTTTTTGTGTAGGCAAAGCTATGCTCGGGAGCTTTTGAGTGTAGCTCCGACAGCTTGGTACAGAGATCTCGAGGGGAAGAGATCAGGCCGTGTAGCTGCCCATTGTCCCCATTTTATGAATGCTGGACCTGCTCTTTCAAGTGTTCGAAGGACGACATGAAGCCAATAGCGCCTGAATCCTGGTCCAAACAAGTCAACAAATGGTTGCCATGACTATGCTTGGGGTAAACAAGATGGTCAAGTAGAAGGCTCTGACAAGCAAGATGACACCTTCCACAGCAGAGTATACTAGTGATGTGACAAAAGCCCGCCCGTCTTGTGCACGATTGTATAGTGAACTTGCCAAGGGGTATGGATACTGAAAGGAGTCAGGCCATTGATCTCTCTGCCCATGGCCATTTGCCCACACGTAAGTGCCAGTGCACCAGAGACAACTAGAGGTGATCTTGTTAAAGCCAAGCTGACTGCTTGGGCTATCCTGCTTATAACCGTGGGGTGATCACTGCCATGAGAGCCTCTTGCAAGGAGCCTCCTCCATGCAAGATGGGCATTGTAGGCGAAAAGTTAGCAGGTGAAGATTCCATAATATGGCCGAGAAATGAGACCACACTCGAAATGCTGTTTGACTGCGTGTCTGGTGAAGGCTGAAGATCCTACTTGTGGGAGCTGGTAACGAGCAGAGTGTCTAAAATGGGGAAGATGAGAGCCCAGCTGGGCTAGTGTTCCATACCTCTTATACCCTGAAATGCTATTGCTCTGGCTTTCAGCAACTGAACTTGCAATCCTCTTAATGGCTCCAAATGTCAAAAATCTGCATTCCAACACCACTCATTTCATCAGTCCATCAATTCTCAAGTCCAAATCTTTCCAACAAGTCTCAAATTTTATGTTTCCCATAACAATTCTCTATTCAGAGAATCAGAGTGGAGCAAATAGAAAAGATCCTACACAATCGAGCTCAACATTCTTTTACCATCCGGAAGCAGAAAAGGAAACCCAAGAAATTCACTCCAATACCTCATTTTGCTCCAAAGAAGATACCAAGGAATCATACTAACTGAATGGGGCACAATCGAGCCTGTGCATAAACTTCTTCTAACTCAACTTTAGTGGAAGAAAAATTACAATCCCAATTCCTTCCCAACCAAAAAAGGCTAAGTTAAATTGCAAGAAAGCACACAGAGCCGCCCACCTGTTGATTTCTATCATCCAAACGAAAACAACATGAGACTAAAGGCGAAGGATAATGAAGGAGAGTTGTTACAATGACAATCGCTGGTCATTAATAATCAATAGTTCATGAAAGTCGAGTAACCTTCCTCATATGGCTGGTACAGTTACAGTTAGGAGCCTGTAAATGCATATGAAATTTTTATGTAGCTGAGAGGAAACCCATTCGAAGGCAGAAGAGGAAACCCAAGAAATTCACTTCAAAAGTTCATTTTCTTCCAAAGAAGACATCACACAATCAGACTCAGCCCGACTTATGAAAGATAAAACCAAAAGATTGGCAAAATCGCGATCAACATTCACCACTTATAAAGTATGAATCCACCATTACAAGAAAGCAGGAAAGACTCAACCAAGCAGAAGAAAGACCCTCAAGATAATCCGTCAGGAAAATCCCCAATCAACTGTTAGTCCTACCATTCTCATTTCCCACTCAATTCCCATTGCCATATCATTCCCTCCATAACCAACCTATCGCCCACTCTTAAAGAGTTCCCCTTCCACAATTTCAAAGAAACCCCCACCTCCACCGGCGTCCTAACTCGCCTCTGTTCTTGCACTCCCTCCGCAGCTCCAGCCACTACCCACTAGCGGGAACTTTTACCACCGATGCTTCCCTCGCGAATTCCGAAAACCTGGGTCCCCTGGAAAACCTACCTAGAAGTTCCGCTCCACAACCACTGTCTGATTCCGGCAACGAACCAATTTTCGCCATCACCGGAACAGCCAATTACCCAATTCAACACACGTCACACCCAACCCCCCTCTCTCTCTAACCCCCGCGAAAAAAAAAGAGAGCCAAAATGGAAGAGAGGAAATCAAGAAAGATGAGAGGGCGGAAAAGGAAGCAACCCACCTCGACATGGCGATCCGGAATCTCGGGAGCTAGTTGATGAAGCCAACGCCGCGGCGGCAGCTAGCATCTTTTCATGGATTCTCTTCCCAGCTGTCCCGGTCTCGTTATCTTCTTTCAGGTTGAGGCTTCAGGCTGATTGCCGGAATGGGCGATCGGCGTCGAGGGGGAATTGCCCGTTTCACTCCGGGAAGGAAAGAAGGAAGGGAGAGATTGCCCTAAAGCTTGGGGGAGAAGGCTGGAGGAGAGAGCGAGAGAAAGAGAGACGGACGCTGGAAGTGGGAAACGGCGGGACGATGGGGAAAAGTGGCCTTGACGTTAGGGAAGAGAACTAGAAGACATGAATTTAATTGGGCTGTTACCGTTTGGGCCCACGACGGAGGCTTTGGAGAGTTCTGCTTGGAGTCGGTCGCTTCTGGCGCCCGTGGGCTGCACGCTATATGGTGCTCTCATTATCCACGTCCTCAAAAAGAAATTCGACGATTGGGACCATAATGCAAATAATAAAACTTCGATTGGTTAATTACATAATCCTGAATTTGGGTTAACAAGCATTGACCCAACTGAGTATGTTTGCAAACCGAAATTGAATCCAAGATTGTCAAACCATAGTCCTTGACCCGTCTGGTTTTGGATATGCTGTAGAGACATTTGCTCGAACTCCTCATAGTCATACAGTTTAATTCTCGAGTATCCATATTCGACAAACCATTTTGCGCTGATTCTGTAACTAGCAATCAACGTTTAGAAATCTTGTTTAGTGATGGCAGGCTCCGTTCGAATCCGTGATTTGTAGCCTTTGAAATCCAAGAAAATGGCATCTTGAAAAAAAATCGTTCAAAAAATTACGAAAATACATCCGAAAATAAATCAGCCCAAATCGGTGCCACGGGCTTAAGCATCAGATGAGAATAGGATCAATAGACTTCATCGTCGGTGGAGAATAGCCTCGGGCCGAATTCGTGATCTCTAGCCTTCCAAATCGGAAGAAAATGACATTTCGGAAAAATCACCTGAAATCGGTGATGGTGCCCCTTTGAAATCTGTCAAAAATGGACTCGGAAGAAATCTGCCCAAATTGGTGCTTGATGGACTTAATCCTCGGTGGAGAATAGCCTCAGGGCGAATCCGTGATCTGTAGCCTTCAAAATAAATGAAAAAGGTCTTTCGAAAAAATTGCTAAAAAATTACGAATATGCCCTCCGAAAATAAATCCGCCAAAATCGGTGCCTAACGGATTTAAGCATCGACAGAGAATAGGATCAATAGACTTAATCATCGATGAAGAATAGCCTCGACCTGAATTCGTGATCTCTAGCCTTCCAAACCGGAAAAATGACATTTCAGAAAAATCACAAGAAATTTGTGATGGTACCCCTTTGGAATCTGCCAAAAATTGACACGGAAGTTATCCGCCCAAATCGGTGCATGATGGACTTAATAATCGGTGGAGAATAGCCTCGGGCCGAATACGTGATTTGTAGCCTTCAAAATCTAAGAAAAATGGCCTTTTGAAAAAAATCTCCCAAAAATTTACGAAATGCCATCCGAAAATAAATATGCCCAAATCGGTACCTAACGGGCTTAAGCATCGACGGAGAATATGATCAATAGACTTCATCATCGGTGAAGAATAGCCTCGGGCCGAATCCGTGATCTATTGCCTTCCAAATCGGAAGAAAATGACATTTCGGAAAAATCACCCAAAATCTGTGACGGTACACCTTTGGAATCTGCCAAAAATTGACCCGAAGGAAATCCGCACAAATCGATGCTTGATGGACTTAATACTTGGGGGAGAATAGTCCCAGACCGAATCCGTGGTCTGTAGCCTTCAAAATTCAAGGAAAATGGTCTTTCGAAAAAATCGGCAAAAAAATTACGAATATGCCCTCCGAAAATAATTCCGACTAAAATCGATGCCTAACGGGCTTAAGCATCGATGGAGAATAGGACCAATAGACTTCATCATCGGTGGAAAATAGCCTCGGGCCGAATCTGTGATATCTAGGTCTTCCAAATCGGAAGAAAATTCGCCCAATTTGGTTCTTGATGAACTTAATCCTTAGTGGAGAATATACTCAGACCGAATTCGTGATTTGTAATTTTCGAAATCCAAGAAAAATAGATTTTCGGGAAAAAATCGCTCAAAAATTACAAAATATCATGGACATTCTAAACTCAACTAACTCAGACTAGGAAGTGGGAGGTATGTAGTGGCAATCCATATTCCAAATTAGGGACATGCAATTTCAATCCAAGTTGTGAACAACTTATGACGAATTCGCTAAAAATGCAAGCCATGAGACTCTAACATTATACATTACATTTTACCTATAAAACATTCAACAACTAACCTTGCTAGGAGTATAAACGTTGTCTCCAACCTTTACATAGAGGTGGCAATTGGATCGGATTCGTGAATTGAATTGATGAATCCATGGATTAAATGGATTGGCTCCAATGGATTGGTAAATCATGGATTGGATCAAATAAATTGGTGAATTTATCCATAAATCCAAATGACATCCAAGGCTTGAACTAAAATGTAAATTTTGAAAAGTTTAGGTACTAAAATGTCATAATGCAAAATTTTAGGTACCAAAATGTAATTTTCTAATGATTTTTTCGTATAAAAATATAAATTTTAGGTACCAAAATATAAAATATAAAAAAATATAGGTACCAAATCGTAATTTACCATTTAGATCCATGAATTGGATTTAAATGAATTGGACTAAGTGGATAATTTGGTAAATAAATTGGATTCATGGATTTGGATCCTAATTGCCACCTCTACCTCTACATGATCCCATCCAGCTATGCCCTACAAAGGCCCTTGCACAATATGAAAAACTAGTACCCTGGCCTAAACTCTTGCTTCTATAGCGTTTCCCTATACAAAGCTAGGGAAACTCGACACCGAGGATTGCACATTTGCACTGTACCTAATCCGCGATCGGATTGAACGACATCATTTCGATGCAATGATGCTTGATACAAACAAAGCCACATGCTAAGAAAACCATGTTTTTCTAACAGCTGGTATGGTATGTCACCATAAAAAGTACCAAACAAAGCCAGCTACCTAGAGACACCTCCGAGTCGGGTGAGATTTTTCTGCCAGACTATACATGCAATGCAATAGTGCAAATTAGGATTTTCAGCAAAGCCCATTTCTCCATCGGTACTTAGTTACCTACATAATATATACAGACCCGGCCCAGCCCGGCCCAAACCCCGTAAATAGTCCACAACGGCCCGTCCCCGACCACTAACACCGTTTCTTAACAGCAGGCTCCTTGCGCGAGTTGAAGTAGACCGCCGCAACGGGAAGGCCCAGCCCGTTACGGGCCGCGAAGTGGCGGGTGCAGAAGTTCCCGCGCATTTCCGGCGGCGCCACCGCCACGCTCCGATCCATCAGCGCCCTTTCCTGCCTGAACAGCGCGAACACGTACCTGTGGATCCCCGTCGGCGGCTGCGGCCCCACGTACGGCACCAGCTCCTGCCCTACAAAACCAAAACCCCCCATTTAAAAAAAAAAAAAAACAATTTCTAGAGTAAAAATAGTTAAATGTACAATTTTAAATGCTAATCGAACATAGATTTGTCGGATATTCATGCACGAAAAATGGTACCTTTTGTAGCATCGGACCCTTCAGGAATATCAACCATAACCCTGCACAACAACAAAAAAAGGAAACCACCTCCGTTCAATCAAAGCACCAAAATTCGAACTCACGCGGTGTCACGCAACACGCTAGTTATCGATCGATATTAATTTATCTTCTCGTACCAATGTAGCCACTCCCTGAGCCTAGGCTCGCTGGGGCTCGGAGCATCGGGATCCACCATAACCTACAAATTAACATGCAAATCACACACACACTCTAATTTCATCGAACTAGGAACGAATTTCCCAACATGCAAACCAATCGAGTTCGGATAATTGAGGAAAAGCCGTTTTGCACACCAAGGTGTAGAGCACGGAGGAGATCGGCGGGGGAGCATCGCGGAGGATCTGGACGAACGGCTTCTGGAGGGCGGCAGAGGGCTTGATCTCGCATCCGTTGGAGATTTTCCTCGACCCGTAGTGAACGGTGAGCTCGACGAGCGGGTGGAACGGGTCGAGCACGTCTCCGATCACCTTCCCGACGATCAGCGGCTCGATCGAGGTCCGAGCCATGGCGCGGCGGTGGCGGATGGGATCCGGTGGAGGTTCGATCGATCGGTCGATCGATTGATGATCAGTCAGAGAGTGGAACTTTTTTTTTTACTTTCCCACTTAGCGAAGGAAAAGAAACAAACTTTCCTATGTGGGTTTTCCAATGGGGATGAGTTAGTTTTGGTGAGAAGGAGGGGTTTTATTATGACGCCACGTAGCGTGAAGGCTTCCAGGTTTGACACGTCAATAGTGCTGATGGCGGCAGGTGGACACGTGTTGTCGTTTGGGATCACCGTCGGTTATTGATGTCACTTGGGAGAGACGGGTTTTTCTGATCAGGTTGTTTTCACCACTACAAGAATCAACAAATTAATAATGTTGGCATGCACTATAGAGTTGTGCTTAGGGATGATAATGAGGCGGGACCCGATGGATATCGTAATATCGATATTCGTTTCATACTATATGTGATTCAGGTCGGGTAATATAGTAGAATGAATAATTGGGGCTAAATAGTTGAAAAAAATAGAGTTTTAAAATTTCGTTCGGAAAAAAAAAGTGATTCTATAAAGGTCAAAAAGTATAGAATAGAACGGGACAAAACGAGACAGTTTGGAAGCAATACCCTTGCCCCTCGGCGCACTACGCAATTCCCCAGTGACCAATGATTATTCAGTTAACCGAATCACACGAAATCATACAGGGCCTAGTACACTAATCCAAAAGTTGAGGTGTACTTATACCTAACAGCATTACCCCAGACCCCACTTTATTGAATTAATAATATGCGTGATTTGGTGGGAACTTTGGTTATTGGCTGTAAGATTATTAATATTATCGAATTGGAACACCAATCACATTCGCGTTTTCACTGATTTATCTCCCTAAGTTGATGATGATTGATGGCGACGCCATCTCATACGATTATGAGCGATAATTGATGGGCCTTTAACCCAAGATTGGCTCGATTTGCCCAAGGGGTCGTTTGGATTAGGTTTTTTTATGAGGGATTTTAATCACAATCTCTCATTGTGCAGGATTTTAAACATTTCTGCGTTTGGTAAACATGAAGGATTTTGCAATTAGGAATTTTAAAAACCTTCAAACGTGGGTTTTTGAAATAGCTGATCACCATCAGCTATTTACAAATCCCTCATTTTTATTTCATTTTTTTCCAAACCTTACCCCTTTGCCTGCTTCCATCTCCCCTGTACGAGACCAGCAACCTTCCTTTTCCTTTTCTTCTTCCGTCTCTCTCCCAATTGATCCCAACGTCGCCGACGTCTTCTTTCCGGCAAATCGAGGGGCTCCTCGTTCAACTTCAACCCTGCGACCCGTCTTCCTTTCTTATCTGTCCTCTATCTTAACTTCTTCCTTCTTCCCTCTGCCGATGACAACGAGCAATAACAAGGACGATCTCGGAGAAGTCCAGTCGCCGTCGAAATTTGACCTTCCCCAGTCCCTACATCATCCCTTCCAAATCGCTAAGCCTCCCTTGTCTCGTTATCATACGCCTTCGACCTGCCCAGTTGCCTTTGACCTTCCCAGTTGACATGCAAGCCTCCTGCCGGCGATGACGAGTTCAATGAGTGTCGGGGATTTCACAATTTTTGGTTCAAGAAGACAGAAATTGGAATAAGAGGAAAGGGGGAAGAAGAACAGACCCATCGTAGAAGATAGGTTAGGAATTTGGGTAAAATTGTAATTGTAATTTTTTTATTAAAATCTCTCCTCTATTGCCAAACACGTTATTTTACCAAAATCCTACACTTAAATTACCAGGGTTTTTAATGAGAGATTTGAGCCTCAAATTACTCGTTTTAAAATCCTTGATCCAAACGACCCCCAAGTGAAATTAGAGAAAGTTTTGGGTTTCCAGTAACTAGTCGTGGGCCGGGAAAAGGATTCTGAAGCAGATGCTTGACGTCCAAACTTGGACTTGCAGGACCGAGTGATGGGCTGATTCTGATTTCTTCAGAAAAAGGATTTTGTCCATTTTCTGGGTAGGGCCTGGGATAATCTTGTGACGGGCTAACTCTTAAGTATTGGCTGCTAGCTATGGGCTTTTCGGGCCCTTGTTTAGCACATTGGAATGGGCTAAGTGGCTTACCCAAAGGGTTGGTGCGGTGGATGGAAATATGAATTGCCTTCATTTGCAAGTGAGATTAAGATTATCAATGCAAAAGTAATATATAAGATCGGTATATTTTCAACAATTTGAAGTATGTTGAGATTATTGATTTTTGTTAGGTAATCAAATTAGATTTTTGATCGGATTATTGCATGTTTGTATTTTACTAGCTAACAATTTGTCAGTACAAATTTCAAGTACATGATAACGTTCTATTTTCAAGAGTGTGAAATTCATTTTAAAAAATTCACATATACCCTATAACTCTTTCTAGCGACCGATGTCATTCAATTTATGACGAGAAATCTTGACATTTTATGCAAATCAAGTTATTTAGAGGAATCACATGTTTATCATATATAAAATAACAATCGTAGGAAGACTTTGCTACGTCTTGATGACACCCATTGTCGGCAATCGTAATTAACTTATTCGTTTGGCCACAAATATATAAATAGTTCATGAATGCAGATATGTGAAATTATTATAATTATTGAAAGTTTAGAAACTGGTATTATATGTGCGGGCGATGATATGACGAAGGGAAATGGACATGTGGTGAAAAAACCGTGGCGCTTAGCCACTATTTTTGACGGCTGCAAAATCTTATCCTTGATTTGATTAACGTGGTTAAATTCAATCCGTGCATGGTATATCAAATTAACAAGGTCAATTTACGAGCTAGCTGTGGGGCATTACGTTTACAATACATGGTGCATAGCGTTGACTAGCTTTATTCGATTTTGCGCGGTTAGAACAATTTGAGTTCAGAAAGATATTTTTGATGACTTAGAATCATATTATGTATTCAAATAAAATATTTAAAAAAAATTAATGTCAAATTAATGTAACCAAATTAGTGAATCGCCTAATTCGCATGCTTAATTGATATTTATTTATTTATTTTCCTTCCATTCTATCTTCAACTTCCAAGGCAATCTCTTCAAAAATTTGGCGCGAGAGTACTTCCAACTTTGTTTGCGTAGTCGACGTTGAGTCGTTGACCATGTTTTCTGGTGAGGGAAGAAATTGGGGGCAATTCTAGAAGCCCGTCACCTTCATCTTTTGACGTTGAGTAAAGAAAGGTTAATTAAGAAACGATACATTTTTTCTTTTAATTTGAATGAAATAATGATTACATCGCCATTGACAAAACGGCCATGCATGGACTTGTGTTTTGTTTGATAATGGGGTGTCATGTCCTTCCCTGATGGAACAAGCAAAAGCTATATGTTTATCCAATTATGTTTTAGGTCAGATAACCCAAAATGAAATGAATTGATGGCAACAATCTCGAATCTGGTTAAGTACGTAGATTCGTTAACAAACTTAGCTGCATCCGTTAACGTTAACGGTCGACAGAATCACCTACGATACGACATTATAAGTAATTAATATTCTCAACCATGGTGTCAAAACTTCTTTCGTATGCTCTAAAAGCAGCAGCCAATGTTCGAATCCCAGTAATTTCTATAACAAATATGATTCCAACACATGGCATGTGATCTTATTGGAACAAGTGGAATGTCAGCGATAATTGTCAAAAAAACAAATACGACATACGTCGTTTCCAGCCAAAAAGGGTAAAATTTGCACCGAACCAGCCACTATTTATATGATTTCCTTTGACAAACTATTCATATTTCATAAAATCGAGTTCATCGATGGAGGTTTGAGCACATCAATTTGAGTCTTTCAGCTTAGCTTCAACCATTTTATTGGTTGAGCAATATTAGTGAGTAGTGACCCCTTTGTCAAAAGCTTAGCTTCTACAAATGAAACAAAGTACTATTGGTTACGCTGTTAGCTGCATTAGGTAGGCTAAGAGCAACACGTATATATATATAGATCGATCTCTTTCGAGGGAAAGGAAAGCTTTTATTTGACAGCTTTCCAATCCTTGTATGGATAGGACAACCCTAAGTCAAAAAACATAAGAAAGACAGGGAGGCCAAAACCCACAAGCCATTCTCCCATACAATGTCCCTTTTCAACTCATCACACGATAGTGATTTTTGTTTTTTTACAAATAAAAAAAGCCAATAAATAAACTTTGATTTATTGTTCATAAATAACAAATGATTCGAGTCGCGTGGTATGCATCAAAACTGTATTCAGAATACTTCATTTTCACCACATGCCTTCACAGTAAAGACTATGTCGACGCTCGAACATAATGATCACTAAAAAAAATTCACCGAATCGATCTTCTATGGAGAAACAAGATATGCAAAGGTCCGTAACCAACAAAGTCGATCTTTCCCATCTCTATCGTCATCTCGTACACATTTTCCCATCTCTATAGTGATCATCTCGTTAACAAATAATTCAAATTACGGTTGTATACATTAAAATAAATTTACAGAGTACTCCATTTTCACCACATGCCTTCACAATAAAGGCTATGGTAGCTGATGTCTGAACAGAACGATCACACCAAAAAAAAAAAAATTCTTCGAATCAATCGCCTATAACGAAACAAGATATGTAATTGGACGCGAATAACCACTCGGTCCATGACGAACAAAGTCTTTCCCATATCTATCGTCATCTCGTTCACATTATCGATTTTATCCGAAAACAGATCATCGGGTCCTCTCCGATCCTTATAGTGTGAAGCTGGCTTCTTAATTAGCTAGGACAGAAACCCACTTTTCCAAATGGAATCATTATGAGTATTCAACGGGAACAAAATTTCCTTTGGGCGGTCGATCGATAGAGAAAGCTTTGGAAGTGGGGGAATGGGGATGATGAGAATGAGATTGCTGTACGTTGCTCACTTTCCAAAGGTCGGCTCCTGGTCAACGTGGACCAAGTAGTGTAATTAATGACCATAATTAACAGCGACGAACACAGAAGAACAGAACCGTAATATATACAATAATTAAACGTTAATGACATGTCGCTTTATTACGGAGTTGGGGAAACAATTAATGAAAAGGACGCCACGGTACTCTTTTCTTTTGCTTGACACGTCAAATTAGAAGAGGCCATTATAATTAGGGCACTCCT